CTTTTAATGATGATTTCTTTATTTTATTGATTTTATTCTTGATTTGATTTAATGTTCATTATTTATTTTATATATTTAATATATTTCTTTTTTATTTGTTGCCATTTTTATTTATTTATTTTATTAATTTTTATTCTTTTAAATGACTATTTATTTTATTGATTTTATTCTTTGCTTTAATGTTCATCATTTATTTATTTTCTTTATTTGATTATTTATTCGTTCATTTGATTTGTTGCTATTTATTTTTATTAATTATTTATTTTCATTGTTTATTAATTTTTTATTGATTTTATTCCTGATTTGATTCAATGTTCATTATTTATTCATGTTATTTATTCAATATATTATTTGTTTATTTGATTTGTTGTTGTTATTTATTTGTTTCACTCACTATTGTTTATTCTTTTTAATGATTATGTCTTTTTTATTCATTTCATTCTTTATTTGATTTCATTTTCCTTATTTATTTTATATATTTGGCATATTTCTTATTTGTTTATTTGATTTGCTGCAATTGTTTATTTATTCACTTTAATTGTTTATTCACTTTTTATTGATTTCATTCAGTTTTCATATTTCTTTATTTATCAACTTTGGGGGTTTTTCTCCATTTAGGTTTTTTTTTAATCCATTTCAGATTTTTTTGGTCCATTTGGGGTTTTTTTGCCTGTCTTTTTTTTTTGTCTGGTTTTTTTTTTTATCCATTTGGGATTTTTCTTTTTTCCATTTGGGGTTTTTTGTCTATTTGGGATTTTTTTTTTGTCTGTTTGGGGTTTTTTTGGTCCATTTGGGGTTTTTTTTGTCCCTTTGGGGTTTTTTTTGCCTGTTGGGGGTTTTTTGCCTCTCTTTGAGGGTTTTTTTTGTCCATTTCAGGTTTTTTGTCTGTTTGGGATTTTTTTGTCCCTTTGGGGTTTTTTGTCCATTTGGGGTTTTTTCCTTTGTCTGTTTGGGGATTTTTTTTGTCCATTTGGGGGTTTTTTGCCTCTCTTTGAAGGTTTTTTTTATCCATTTGCGTTTTTTTGCCTCTTTTCGGAGTTTTTTTCACCCCTTTGGGATTTTTTTCCACCCATTTGACGTGTTTGGGTTTTTTGGGAATGACTCACGTATCCGGAGGGCAGGAGCAGGCCCAGCAGGATCCCCCCCAGGAGCAGGACCAGGAGCAGAACGGCCAGGATTCCCTGGCACGAGGTGAAATCCAGCTGGAAGGGGGGAAAACATCCCAGTCCGGGGCCTTTCCCACCGGGAAAAGGAGCCCCAGGAGCCCCCCTGGCACCGGGAATTCCTCAATTCCTCCTCCTCCTCCCCCTCCTCTCCCTCCTCTCCCTCCTCTTCCACGGTGCCAAACTCTTCCCAAATCGTCCCAGTCCTCCCCAAATCCCAGGTTATCCCAAACTTCATCCTCTCCCAGCTCCATCTGCACCCCTTGGACACATCCCAGTCCTCCCAAAATCACAGTTCATCCCAAACTCCAGCCTCTTCCAGCCCCATCCACACCCCTGGAATGTTCCAGTCCTCCCAAAATCCCAGATTATCCCAAACTTCAGCCTCTTCCAGCCCCATTTAGATCTTGGGCACATCCCAACGTTCCCAAAATCCTGTTTTATCCCCACAGAGCCCCTTCCAGCCCCACCTGGCACATCCCAATCCACCAAAATCCCAGTTTATCCCAAACTTCCTCATCTTCCAGCCCCATCCAGCCCTGTTTCCAGGCCTGGCACATCCCAATCCTCCCAAAATCCCGTTTTTACCCCCTTGGAACCCCTTCCAGCCCCACCCGGCACATCCCAATCCTCCCAAAATCCCGTTTTTACCCCCTTGGAACCCCTTCCAGCCCCACCCGGCACATCCCAACGCTCCCAAAATTCCCGTTTAACCCCCCAGAGGGAGCTCTTTCCCTGGGAATGCCGATCCCGATCCCACCTTGCTCTGGAAGCTGAGGATGGAGATTCCCAGGCACACGAGGGCCGTGATTCCCAGGCACAGCAGCACCGCCTTGGTGTCATAATAGCTGGGAAAAAAAACGGGAAAATCCCACCCCGGGGGAATTCCAGAGGGACAGGGAAAGCGGGGGGTCGGAATTCCCAAAATTCCCCCCGGAATGCTTGGAAAAGGAAAGGTGAGAAAAGGTCGGAGGGGGTTTTGTCCGGGGTTAAAATCCAAGGGGAGGAGGGAGGGACTGGGGGGGGGGGGGGAAATTCCTATGGAACCCTGGAATCCCGGGATGGGGCAGTTGGAAGGGCCCTGATCCAACAGGACATCCCTGTGTCCAGAGGGCTCTGGAATATTCCAAGGACATGGAATGTGTCCCTGGGGTGGGATTGTGGGATTTGCGGGACACCCTTGGAGAGGGATTTGTGGGATGGGATTTGTGGGACATTCCCAGGGTGGGATTTGTGGGATTTTCGACCCATTCCTGGGGTGGGATTTGTGGGCCATCCCTGGGCTGGAATCTGTGGGATTCCTGGGGCATTCCTGGGCTGGGATTTGTGGGATTCATGTGAAATCTCTGGAATGGGATTTGTGGAATTCGTGGGACATTCCTGGGGTGGAATTTGTGGAACATTTCTGGGCTGGGATCTGTGTGTTATCCATGAGGTAGGATTTGGGGGAGATCCCTGGGCTGGGATTTGTGGGATTTGTGTGAAATCCCTGGATTGGGATTTGTGGGATTTGTAGGACATTCCCGGAGTGGGATTCTGGGACATCCCGGAGCTGAGATCTGTGGGATCTGTGGGATTTTTGGGCCATCCCTGGAGTTTCTCCCCCAGAGCTGCTGAATCCATGATTTCCTTTATCCCAGCACATCCATAAATCCCCCCCCCCCCGGCTCATCCCACGGGATCCAGGGCTGGGAGCAGATTCCCAGGGAAAACAAGCAGGAAGGAGCAGGGAGGTGGGGCTCTAAAATCCCAAAACTCATGGAAAATGTTCCCTGTCTCTGCTCAGTGGGAAATTTGGGATCACTGGGAGTCACCTCCACCCCTTCCAGCGCCTTATCCCGGGATTTCTGGAATCTCTGGGGCTCTCCCAAAGGATTTGGGATCACAGAACTCCCACCTTGTGACAGGGACACCCCCAGGACTTGGGAAGCTTCCCAAAAAACCCCATTCCCAGGGAAGTTGGGGCTGGGATAACCCCAGGGAGGGCAGGGGGGCTGTGGATTCCAGGAATAAGGAATTTTTTTGGGAAGGACCCACCTGGAGAGCATGGCAGTGAGGTAGGCCAGGGAGAGGGTCTGGAAAAGGGATGGAGGTGGGTCAGGGATGGGATCCCGGGAAAAGCTCCAATCCCAGGGAAAAGGGGGAGGATTCGGGAGGAGTTTGGATCCTCCCGGGATGGAATTTCCATGGGAGCGGCTCCGGGAGCTCTGGGAGCGGCTCCTCCAGATCCTCCGGCCCTCGGGAACGGAATCCTGAGTCTGATCCCAGTTGTCATCCCAGTTCCCATCTCTCCCATCCCATTCCCACCCCCCTTCCCATCTCTTCATCCCAGTTCCCATCCCAGTTCCAATCCCATTCCCATCACTCCCATGCCATCCCTATCCCAGTTCCCATCTCTCCCATTCCCATCCCATTCCCACTCCAGTTCCCATCTCTCCCACCTCATTCCCACCCCATTCCCACCCCATTCCCACCATTCTCCCAGTGCTGATTCCCCCCATTTTTTCCCCAACCGGATTCTCCCTTTTCCCACCTTTCCCATCCCAATCCCACCCCCAATCCCGGGGCAATCCCAGGTGGAGATTCCCATTTTCCGTGGGAATTCCGGCCACCGTGTGCCCCTGGATGAATCCCCTAGGATGTTCCCGGATTTTGCCACTCACGAAGATTCCGAGCAGGATCAGATTCCATGGGAAGCGTCTCCTGGAAGGGAAGGAACAGGGAATGCTCGGCCTCGGGAGGCACAGCAGGGAAGGGGGGACCTTTCCAGGGAATTTGGGATCTTTCCAGGGAATTAGGGAACCATTTCAGGGAATTAGTGACTTTTCCAGGGAATTTGGGACCTTTCCAGGGAATTAAGGATGATTCCAGAGCATTGGAGACCATTCCTGGGAATTAGGGAACCATTTCAGGGAATTAGAGACCATTCCAGGGAATTCCTGACAATTCCAGGGAATTATTGACCATTCCAGGGAATTTGGAACTATTCCAGGGAGTTAGGGAGCATTCCAGAGAACTGGGAACCATTTCAGGGAATTTGGAACCATTTCAGGGAATTAGGGATGATTCCAGGGAATTCCTGGGAATTAGGTTCCTCTGCCCTTCCCGGGGCTGCAATTCCCAAGGTTACCTGAGACCGGAGCAGCAGGCCAGGACCAGGTAGGTGAGGAAGAAAACGGCGCTGGAATTTCGGGAAGGAGAAGGAATTTGGGGAAGGAGAAGGAATTTAGGGAGGGAAAATCAAGACGGGGGGGAAATTCCCATCTCTCCCATCCCAGTTCCAATCCCCGTTCCCATCCCATTCCCATCCCAGTTCCTGGAATATCCCCACTTTTCCCTGGTTTTCTGCCACCAATTCCCAGGGGTTGACTTTGACCCCGGTTTTTGGAACTTCCCAGGGAACAATCCCAAAAATTCAGCCTCCAAGGTATCCCAGGCCCACTTCCAGGTCTCCCACCTGGGGTTCTGCACCGTTTCCCTGGAAAATCCCCCTTTTCCCTGGTTCCCCACAGCCAATTCCCAGGTTTTGGTTTCATCCCTGGTTCCCAGAGCCCTTTTTTTTTGTTGGGAAGTGTTTGGAATCCCGACCATCCCCCCCCATCTCCTGCTCAACCAGGGGAGATTTCCCACCTTCCCACCTCAGGAATCGCATTTCCCAGAGGGAATCCGGGCACTCCCCATCCCTGGCAGTGTCCGAGGAGCAGCCTGGGATTGTGGGATCATCCCTCCCATTCCAGGATTCCGAGCCCTTCCCTGGCTCCCTCCGGACACCCTCAGGCTGATCCTTCCCCTGGGAAGTTGGAGGCACTTCCCACCCATCCCAGAGCTCATCCCGAGCCGTTGGAAAAGCAGGAATACTCACTAGGAAGCCCAGTACCAGGCGGGGTGGGTCTGGATGTAGCCCTTGACGGGATCACTGCAGGAAAGAGGGAAAAGTGATCAGCGGGAAGGGTCCAATGGCCAATTCCCACCCGTTTTCCCATTGGATGGACCCCTGGAACAGCCCCAGCGGGAATAAAATCCCTGGGTTGGGATCTGGGCTGTGATCCAGCCCTGGATTGGGATCTGTGTTCCCAGGGATGTCCCTGGATTGGGATCTGTGTTCCCAGGGATGTAACAATTCCCTGGATTGGGATCTGTGCTGTATCCCAACCCTGGACTGGGATCTGTGTTCCCAGGGATGTCCATGGATTGGGATCTGCATTGCCAGGGATGATCTAGCCCTGGACTGGGATCTGTGCTGTGTCCCAGCTCTGGATTGGGATCTGTATTCCCAGGGATGTCCCTGGATCGGGATCCGTATTCCCGGGATTCCCCCGCACCCACCAGAAGGTGAACAAGGCCACGACCCCCGTGGTGAGCAGGAGCTGCAGCAGCAGGAGCGCGTAAACCTGCGGGAAGAGTGGCTCCCTTGGGATCCATCCCGCCGGGAATGCCCCTCCCGGGGCTCCCTTGGGATCCATCCCACTGGGAATGCCGCCCGGGCCCCTCCCATCCCGCCGGGAATGTCGCTCACCTTCCTGACGAAGAGCCTGCGGACGTTCCCGTCGTCCCAGCCCAGGGGCCCGAGCGGCTCCGTGTCCCCCGGGAATTCCCCGCTCCCGGGGCCTGGGAATGGCACCGGTCAAATCCCATCCCGGGAATTCCCGCCCTGGCTGCTGGAGCTGGATCTGACCCGGGCAGGGATCGCAGCTCCCGCTTTTCCAGGTTTTCCTGCACCCCACCGCTGTATCCCTGTTCCCCCTTATCCCTGTTTCCCCTTTATCTCTGCTTCCCCTTTATCCCTGTTCCTTTTTATCCCTGTTTCGCCTTATCCCTGTTTCCCCCCTATCCCTGATTCACCTCACTCCTGCTACCCCTTTATCCCTGTTCCACTCATCTCTGTTTCCCCCCATCCCTGCTTTCCCATATCCCTGCTTCCCCTTTATCCCTGTTCCCCTTATCCCTATTTCTCCCCTTATCCCTGTTTCCCCCATCCCTGCTTCCCCTTTATCCCTGTTCCCCCTTATCTCTGTTCCCCCTTATCCCTGTTTCCCCTCATCCATTTCCCCCCTTATCCCAGTTTCCTCCCTTATCCCAGTTCCCCCCCATCCCTGCTTCCCCCCATCCCTGTTCGCCCTTTATCCCTGTTCCCCCTTATCCCTATTTCCCCCTTATCCCTATTTCCCCCTTCATACCTGTTCCCCGCCCCGGGGGGTCTCTCCTCCCTCCCGGGGGTCTCCCCCCGCCCATCCCCCATCACTCACCGGGATCCCCAAAATTCCAGCCGGGGGGTGGGGGGGGGACATTCCCGGCCTTCATCCCTTCTCCCGCCGTGGCCTCCTCGTAGGACGGGGGGCCTGGGGGGGCCACGGGGGTGTCCTTGTGCCCCCCCTGCCCCTCGGGGGGCTTGTGGGACACGGAGAGCTGCAGAAAACAGGGAGAGAGGGACGGGGGTGAGACCCCAAAGCAGCCCCAAAGCAGCCGGGAATCCCAGAGGGATGGGAAGGGACCCCCAGGAATCTGAGCGGGATGGGAAGGGACCCCCAGGAGCAGGAATTGGGGACTGGGAGGACCTCCAGGGATTCCAGGGGGCTGGGAAGGGACCCCCAGGGGGAGGGATCAGGGGCTGGGAAGGGCCGGGGCAGTTGCGGGGCTGTCCCTGCGCCCCCCCTGCCCCTCGGAGCCGGGGGGCTTGTGGGACACAGAGAGCTGCTGAAAACAGGGAGAGAGGGAGAGGGTGAGACCCCAAACCAGCCCCAAAGCAGCCGGGAATCCCAGTGGGATGGGAAGGGACACCCAGGAGCAGGGATCAGAGGCTGGGAAGCAGCCTCCAACCCCAAACCAGCTCCAAATCCCAAACCAACCCCAACCCCAAACCAGCCTCCAACTCCCCAAACCAGCCCCAACCCCAAACCCATCCCAAAGCAGTTCCCCTTCCATCCCCAGCCCCCAACCCCCAAACCAGCCCCCAACCCCACAAACCAGCCCCCAACCCCACAAACCAGCCCCCAAATCCCAAAACCATCCCCCAAACTAGCCCCCAACCTCCAAACCAGCCCCAAGCCCCAAACCCCAAGCCAGCTCCAAAGCAGTTCCCCTTCCATCCCCAGCCCCCAAATCCCAAACCCACCCCAAAGCGGTTCCCCTTCCATCTCCAGCCCCTTCCCCCCCCACCGTTCCCCCCCAGCCCCTCATCCCGTTCCACCCCAATCCCTCCATCCCGTTCCATCCCCAGCCCCTCATCCTTTACCCCCCTCAGCCCCCCAGTCCCTTCACCCCCCATGTCCCTCCATCCCTTTCTTCCCCTTTTCCCTCCGTCCCCTTCCACCCCTTATCCCTTTCCATCCCTCCATCCCCTTCCTCCCCTCATCCCTCCATCCCTTTCCACCTCCATGTCCCCATCCCCTTCCTCACCTCATCCCTCCATCCTCTCCCCTTCATCCTTCCACCACCCGTCCCTCCATCCCCTTCCCTCCCTCATTCTTCCATCCCTTTCCATGCCTCCATATCCCTCCATCCCCTTCTACCCCTCATCCCTCCATATCCCCCTATCTCCTTCCATCCCTCCATATCCCTCCATCCCCTTCCATCCCTCATCCTCCATCCCCTTTCCTTCATCCCTCTATCCCTCCATCCCCTTCATCCCTCTATCCCTTCATATCCCTCCATCCCCTTCCCTTCATCCCTCTCTTCCTCCATATCCCTCCATCCCCCCCTCTCCTCCATCCCTTCATCCCTTTCCCTCCCCCATCCCTTCCATCCCTTCCCCCCTCCCCCCATCCCAGGGGTCCTCTCCCCCCTCCCCCCTCCCTCCAACCCTTTTATTCCTTCAACCCCCTCGCCCTTTCCCGCCCTTTCCCTCCCCCGAACATGGAATTACAGCATCGGGAACGGGCCCTCCCCGCTCCCCCCTCACCTTTCCCTGGGTCATGGCCCCGGATCCTGGTGGGAGCCGCGGGAGGGATCGGGATGGGGATCGGGATCGGGATGGGGATGGGGATCGGGATGGGGATCGGGATCGGGATGGGGATGGGGATCGGGATGGGGATGGGGATCGGGATGGAGAGCGGGATGGAGAGCGGGATCGGGATGGAGAGCGGGATGGAGAGCGGGATGGAGAGCGGGGTCGGGATGGGGGCCCTTCCCGGCCGCGTTTCCCGGGATGTGCCGGGCCTGGATCAGCCGCCGCAGCTCCCGGCGCTGCTCCAACCTTCTGGCAACATCCAGGGAGTCAGGGCGGTACCATTCCCGGCCCGCCGCACGGGGGAAACCGGGAATGCGCGGCGGAAACAGGAATGCATGGGGGAAACCGGGAACTGCGGGAGGAGGGACAGGGATGGGGGGATGCAGGGATTGGGATGGGGGGATGAAGGGATTGGAGAATGCAGGGATACAGGGATGCAAGGTAAGGAATGGGCAGGATTAGGGATGGGGGGATGCAGGGTTAGAGATGGGGGGATGCAGGGATTGGGATGGGGGGATGCAGGGTAAGGAATGGGCAGGATTAGGGATGGGGGGATGGAGGGATTGGGATGAGGGGTGCAGGGATTGGGGGATGGAGAATTAGGGATTGTGGAGATGCAGGATTAGGGATGGGGGGATAGGGATTGGGATGGGGGATTAGGGATGGGGGATGCAGGATTAGGAATTGGGGGGATGCAGGGATTGGGATGGGGGTGTGCAGGGATTGGGGGGATGCAGGGATGGGGAAGAGAAGAGAAGAGAAAGAAGGGAAGGTTTTGGGAACGTTTGGGAAGGTTTGGGAAGGGAAGGTTTGGGAAGGGAAGGGAATCCTGGCCCCAATTAATTTGCCAGGTCGATAATTGAGGCACAAACAATAAATGTGATCAGAAAAAAATCCCTGACAAACTTCAGGCTCCCAAAGCACAGCCCTGGGAGATTCCTCACGGGAGAAGGGGAGGGAAAGGCCCTCGGCAGAGGAAAAAGGGGTGGGAGAAGCCCCTCCCCGCAGGGAGCGTGGGAAGGGAAGGGTTAAAGGGAAAGGCCGGGCTGGAAATGCAGGAATGCGGGCGAGCAGAGCCCGGCCCGAGCCGCGCGGGTGCAAAGGAGGCGATTAAAGAGCAGGAACTCGTGGGGATTGTTCGGAATTAATTCACCGAGAGCTCCCCGAGGGCTTTTCCTGCTGCTCCGGGCGGGGCAGAGGCAACGAGGCGAAACGGGTCCGGCCCGAAGGGAGAGCGAGAAACTCCACCCGGGGGGAGTACTGGGGTTTGGGGGGATAAATCACCCAAAAACCCTGGATTTGAGCCCCTCAGGGATGGGTAAATCACCCCAAAAAGCTGGATTTGTCCCCCCTCAAGATTGGATAAATCCCCTCCAATATCCCTGGATTTGACCCCTCAGGGGTGAATCCCCTCCAATATCCCTGGATTTGACCCCTCCAAAGGTGGATAAATCCCCTCCAATATCCCTGGATTTGACCCCTCAGGGGTGGATAAATCCCCTCCAATATCCCTGGAATGTTCCCCAACCCCCAACCCAGCCCCAAAGCCGTTCCCTTCCCATCCCGTTGTGGTGGTCCCAGGGATTTCCAGGATCCCAAATTCAGCCCTATTCCCAGCACCGCGGCCTCTGGATAGGGGGTGGGGGTGGGGGGGGAGGCTTCCCCCCCCCCCATTCCTCTTTAACACCTCGAGTTTAAAAATAAACTCCGGAATAAAACCCTCGTCCAGGTCACGCCCGGGCAAATCCCGGCGGGATTTCTCAGGGATTAAAGGAATTCTGCTGAACACTCAATCCCGGGGAAAACAAGGGAAAGAAAAGCCGATGGGATAATTAAGGGATTTGCTGCCTCACCAGGAGCACACCCAGGAGCCCTCGGAAAACGCACCAAGGGGGGGGGAAGGTCCTGGCAGGGAAAACTCCGCCCGGGAATTCCAAAATAAACATGGAAATGGAGGAATTTCCCCCCCAGGCTGCTGAGTTATCCCGGGATTATTGATAATCCGTGGGGGATTGACAGGCACAGGCTGGGAAGGGCAGGGAAGGTACCGGGAGGGGGAAAAAAGGGATAAAAAATGGGATTGTTCTGGAGGGGCAGAGCCCTGCCCGCATCCAGGATCCCGGGGAGATTCCCAGGGATGGGTCTGAACTAAGAGAGGAGGGATTGCCGTGGGATATCAGGAAGGGATTCATCCCTGGGAGGATGGGGACACCCTGGGCTGGAATTCCCAGGGAAGCTGTGGCTGCCCCTGGATCCCTGGGAGTGTCCAAGGCCGGGTTTGATCCCCTGGGATGGTGGGAGGTGTCCCTGTCTGTGGAAAGGTGGGATGGGATTTAAGGTCCTTTCCCACCCAACCCATTCCAGGATTCCATGTGCTGGTTTAGGTTGGATATCAGGGATAAATTCCTCCCTGGGAGGGTGGGGAGGCCCTGGAATGGATTTCCCAGAGGATTCCCCATCCCTGGGAGTGTCCAAGGCCGGGTTGGATCCCCCTGGTCCACGGGAAGTGTCCAAGACGGATTTTAAAGTCCCTGATTCCATGAAAACGCCCCATCCCGGCGGGATCGGTTCTCCCTCATCTGTGAGCTCGCGGCGCCCTCTGCTCCTCACCCCGGGGATAAACCCGGCTTAAAATTAAACCCCGGCGTCGGTTTAACCCTAAAACCTCCCCCCGGAGCCTCTTTAACCTCCTTCGACCCCCGAACATTTATAATTTACCTCTCATTTATAAGGGTTTAAAGAATTTTCTATGATTTTTATATGATTTTATGATTTTACATGATTTTTAGCGAAGTGGTTTAAATAACATTTATATCCTATTTATTTCTATTACATTCCTGCGGTATTTACTGATATAAATTTATATCAATAAATTCAATGCAACTTTTAAAAATGGGATTTGAAGAACATTTATATCTTATTTATTTATATTATATTTATATGGGTTTACACGACTTTAATTTGATTTTTTAAAATTTATATCTCCTTTATTTATATTAGATTTTTATGGTTTTATATGACTTTATTTGGGGGTTAAAAATAAGATTTGAAAAACATTTATACCTCATTTATTTATAGAATATTTTTATGGTTTTATACGACTTTTATCCGATTTTAACGGTGTGATTTCAGTAATATTTCTATGTTATTTATTTACATAAGTAACACCTGAATTATAAATAACACGTACTCACATATAAATAAATATAAAAATAAGATATCATATATGACGATAAAAATAATAAATTATATAAATAATAAACACAAATAAATAATATTAATAATATGTATAAATAATAAAAATAAATAAATAATAAAAATATAAATTATATGAGTTAGATAGGTTTATGTGATCTGAACAACATTTCAACTTTATTTAAACAAAATGTGCGTTTTTAACGACTTAAACACGATTTTTATACCATTTAAGCACCATTTAAATATTATTTAAACACTTTCACCCCCCCCAGGCCTGAGGCCCCGCCGGGTCGCCATGGCAACGCTGGGGGACGACTTTCAAGGTGACACCGGGGGGGGTCGCGCCGTCTCCGCCGCCCGGCACGGCGCGAACTAATTTTTTTTTATTATTTTACGCAAACCCCTCAAATCTCATTTTTTCGCCCCAAAAAGCGCCGCGGTGGCGCCGGTGGCGCTGTCGTTTGTCCTTTTTGTTGTCGCTTGTCCCTTATTGCTGTCGCCCGGGCCGCCTCGGAACGTCCGTGGCGCGGAACGTTCGTGCTCGGGTTGCGGTTGGCGCCCGGCGCGCCCGCGGGGGGAGGCGGGAAAATGGCGGCGCCCACGGGCGGGGGGTCCCGCGGGCCCGATCCCGGCGGGGGGGCCCGAGGGCTCGATCCGGGGGCGGCTCCCTACGGGAACTTCCCGAATTATTCCCGCTTCCACCCGCCCGAGGGCCGCGTCCGCCTCGTGCCCCCCGGGCTCCTGCAGACGCTGTTCCCCGAGGGGCCCCGCCCTCTCCTGGCGCTCGATGTGGGCTGTAATTATCGTGGTCACCCCCACACTGGGGGTGGGACCCCCCCCAAATCTGCCCCCCCCCCCATCCCAGTGTGATCGTCTGACCCCTCCCCCCCCATCGCGGCCTTTTGGGGGCTGGGGGGGCTCCTGGACCCCCCAAATCCAACCCCCCCCCTCCTCTGCACACCCAGCCCCCATCCCAGTCCAAACTGGTTCTTACTGGTTATTTATCCACCGGGACTGGGCCCCCCCTCCATGTGTGTCCCCTGACGGGGGGCAGGGGTCACAGTCCCCCCCCTCTGGCCCCTTACCTGGAGGGTCCTTGCCCCACCCAAATAAACACGTGACACCAACTGTGGCGTCGGCTCATTTTGGGGGGGCCCCCACCCCTGTGCGCCCCCTAAGGGGCTGCTACACCCCCCCTGCCCCCCAGTGATTCCGGACCCCCGGGGGGGGGGGGGGCACTGCCCATCCCCCTTTATTGGGAGGGAAACGGGGGGCCCAAAACCAGACACCCCCCCCATAAGGGGGTTTCCTCCCCCCCGGGTGGACTCGGGGGGGGCTTCAGGGGGTGTTTTTGGGGGGGTCACTTCTTGCCCCCCCCGCAGGTCCTGGTGCTCGGGGGAGGGGGGTCAGGAGGTGTTTTTGAGTGGGGGAGTCGCCCCTCACCCCCCTGCAGTGCCCCGGGGGGGTGATCAGGGGGTGTTTTTTGGGGGGGTCAGAGATGTTTGGGGGGGGTTCAGAGGTGTTGGGGGGGGTTGGATTTGGGGGGTTCAGAGATGTTTTGGGGTTCAGGAGTGTTTTGGAAGGGGAGGGGCTCACCCTTCCCCCCCCCTCACCGGGGTCTCAGGGCCGCGTTTTCGGGTCCTGCCCCCCCCGAGCTCCAACACCAACGTCCCCCCGGGGGGGGGAGCGGGACCTGCCCAGCCCCCCCTCGGCCTGGGCACAGGGACAGGGGGACACGGGGGGGGGACAGAGCCTGGGGGGCACCCACTGCGGCTCCGGGCCTCCCATTGCGGCCCCCGCCCCATCCCTGCCCCAGGACCCCAACGGGGGCTCCCAAACCCCCTGGGACCCCCCCGGGGGCAGCGCCGG